TTAAGCTGTTGGAGCGATTGATTTTCTGGCACCTCCCAGTCAGATAATAATCTGAAACATACCTTTTGGCTTAGACCAACACGGTTTTAGGTCTGGCTTCTCCACTGAGTCGGCCCTTACACCAACTCGTGTGGAGAATAGAAAAAAACAATTATAGACGGACACTTTGCCATTGGGTTTCTACTGGATATTGTAGGAGCCTTTGATAACATCGGTTTCGAGAAAAATACATAAGGCCCTTACTGGAAGTCATATTCACCCTATGATAACTAGATGGGTCATCTTCATGATTAAAAACAGGAATATCTGTGTTAGTCTTGCTGACTATGAAATAAAGAGAGATATTACTAAAGGGTGTCCGCAGGGTGGTATTCTTTCTCCGTTTCCTGTGGAACCTGGTTTTCGACTCACTCTTAGTACTTCTACGGGAGGAACCTGGCATGTCACAGGCTTATGCAGATGACCTTATTGTGTTATTACAGGGTTTCGATATCGGAACCCTACATAATCAAGCTCAGCAGATCTTAAAGTTTCACACTGGGGTGATACAAATGGCCTTTCTTTCTCTGCTGAAAAATCTGAGGTCATAGTTTTCACGTGGAGAAGGAAATGGAAACTGGCAGATTTATATCTGGGTCACCAGATTATTAGGCGTAAGGAATGCGTTAAATACCTAGGATGTTACCTGGATAGTAAACTTACATGGATCACCCATATAAAAGAAAAGGCGCAAACGGCCACAAATGTTCTAGTACTTTGTAGGCGAATCGTTGGTAAACAATGGGGCCTTAACCCAAAATCTACTCTATGGATTTATACTGCCATTGTTCGGCCAATGCTTTCTTACGGATGCGTGGTCTGGATTAATGTTATTAACAAAAGCACGTATTTAAAACATTTTACAAAAGGTGCAAAGACTTGCTTGCCTAAGCATTAGTGGGGGCTTTAAATAGTACCCCTACTGCTGCATTAGAAATTTTACTGCAAATTCCACCCTTGAAATTATTCTTGAGCGGAGAAGTAATTAAAGCCATGTATAGATTGAATAAAAATGGCACATGGTGCCAAAGGACAGGTTTTGGTCATAAAAGCCACCTGAAAAGCCACATTGACATATGTCTGGACTTGGGCAATGAGATCCTTATAATCTATATGCCCAAAGATGCAATTACTAAAACAATAGTTCCAGATAAAGTATTCTCAACTCATATACCAAAAAGGAATGAGATAGAATCTCTAATTGACCTAATTCCAACAGGCTCAATTGAATGTTACACAGATGGATCAAAATCCAACTTCACTGGAGCTGGAGCTATTATAAGGACCAAGGGATCTGAAGAAGATTTCATTAGATTTCATCTATACCTTGGTAAATTTACAACTGTTTTCCAAGCCGAGGTTCTGGCGATCAATATGGTCGCCAGGGAGCTCTTAGCTAAAAATACAGTTGATAAGTATATATATATTCTCTCTGACAGCCAATCAGCCATCCTTGCCCTGGCTAATCGTGTCAAGTTACAAAACTGTGTTTTGAACTGTACTCAAGATCTCAATTCTCTGGCTCAGGCCCATAATACCATTAGTTTAGTCTGGGTCCCAGGTCATTGTGATTTTGCTGGAAATGAACTAGCTGATAAAGTAGCTAAAGATGCTTCGCAACTACCCACGTCTGGCCCAGAACCATTTTACCCAGTTTCATATCAAACGGTTAAAAAAGAAGTAAGAAGCTGGATAAAGAACAAACATGATGATATATGGTCTAAACTTCCAGACTGTGCTCATTCTAAATTGGTGCTCAGTACACTTAACTTTTCAGGTAAACTCATACACCTCAGTAGAACTAACTTACGCCAGGTAATTCAATTGTTACTGGACATGCTTATCTAGCTAAGCATCTCCACAAATGTGGTCTTGTCGAATCTCCTCTCTGCCCAGCTTGTGGAGAAGAAGAGGAAACACCTTTTCACTTTCTGGGACGATGTCCGGTGTTCTCTGTCCCTAGAAACAAATTCCTTGGGTTTCCCTATATTACCTTTGATCAAGCCCTTTTATACAAAGGGCTCTCTGGCATAATAGGGTTTCTGATGTATACTAAACACCTACAGGTAAGGTGAATATGGAACCACAAGAAACAAGCATTGAGACGCCCTATGAGTTCTTTTTTTTTTTTTTTTTTTTTTGAAAAGAAACTATGCAGGGATTTCCCTCTCATAGCTGTGTTTTGGAATATATTGATATCAAATCTTTATACACTACCTGGCCATTTGGCTTGAGAATGCACCTCTGCCCTCCTTATTATTTATTTATTTATTTGACTCTCCATCGCACTCTTGTTTGGTCAAGAATTTGCGTTTGGTGGTTTGGGAGGGATTGAATCGGTTTTCCATCCAATAGGCAAGTTTTTACGATCCAGCCGACACCTTGAACTTAGAGATGGGATCTTTTGCTGATACTATAGATTTGGTGTCAGTTTGAGATCTTATCTATTTATCATTTACCTTTTACGGGAGTTACCATTTAAATCCCTTGATTTAAATGATCAAATGGCGGAAGAGTAATGGGCAATTTTGCCTAAACTCCTTTCCTTCTTTTCATAAGAAGGAAGCGCCCTATTGTTATGTTATGTTATATGATTCATCACGAGATTACATGCATTCTTTGCTTGCCGTGTTTGAAAACCTGTGTATGTTTTCTTTGAGTTTTGCCGCGGTTCATTTTTTTGTTTTAATTTTAGATAACAGCAGGTTCACAATGATTTACCTAATGAAAAAGAAAAATGAAGTAATTTCTAAATTAAAACAATTTATTGCTCTTACAAACAATACATTTGGGAGAAAGGTAAAAACGCTAAGATGTGATAACGATCTTTTACAACAAAAGATTATGAGAGTGAAGTGCTACTGAGGCTATAAAAATGTTTTACAACACATTACAAAAAAGATAATAAAATTATTGCCAATTTCCACGAAGAGAGCTCACTTTTCAAGGGGAGTACCTCTCCCCCTAAATATATCCCGTAATCTGGTTATGACCATGTTTCATCTCCTTTTTATGCTTGAATGAATTATTCCTCATTGCGAATAGAGTACAAATAAGTCTCAGCTGTTTGAAAAAAATGGTGCACCGGTTAAAGGACTTTAATGTAAAACATCATATCATAAAGATGGACATCCGCTAACAACATAACCTTGAAATATTAGTGATGTTGTAACAGCATCATATATATTTTTTTTTTTTTTCATGCGAAAATGTCGAGTTTTGAGCTGAGTAAGTCGAGTTTTGAGTCATCATTTGTTGAAACTTTTGATTTACCTTTTTAATTTGAAAAAACCTCCAACTGAGGTGCATGGATTGCTTGTAGAAGCATATGGTGTGGCTGCCTCTATTGAGACAAGTTGTTGTGAGTAGTTTCAAAAGCTTACGAATGATAAATTTGACATCATAGACAAAGAAGGAGGAAAAGGATGAAAGTGTATGAAGACATGGAATTAGAAGCATTATTGGATGAAGATCTGTGTATAATACAAGTAGAACTTGCACTTACATTAGAAGTGACTCAACAAACAATTTCACATCATTTAAAATCATGAATGATTCAAAAGCAAGGAAACTGTTCTACATGAACTGAAGATGAGAAACATTGAACATCAATTATTTACACATGAAATGCTGCTTGCCAGGTGCAAATGAAAGAGTTTAGGTCCACTATGATATCTGAAAAAAGAAGAAGAAATGAGGACGACAGCTAAGCCGAATAATTTAGATTAATTTAAGATTTGTTTCAAATGATGAAACATATTCATCAGCAGTATTTCACATCATATGAAGAAACCAAAAATTGGGTTGATTCGTGGCTAGCCTCAAAAGATGAAGCGTTCTTTTGATGCAGTATCCATATGCTGCCAGAAAGATGGGAAAAAGTAGTGGTTAGCAAAGGAAAATACTTTGAGTAAAACATGACATACCATTCTTTCACAATAAACCGCCAATTTTTTATAAAAAGAAGGCAGAAACTTAATTATATTTCTGATAAATAAAATTTATATAAATTGGATTTAAGCTAATAACTTTCATGCCAAGGTTATTATTTAAAAGCTTTGGTGTAAATTATTCCCTTATATACAATATATATTTCTTTTTTTAGTAATTTAAGCTGCTATGTTTTTATTTTATTTTGAAACAACTCTTTTGACTACATTTTTAATTTTATTTTGCAAAATTTATGTTGACACAATTTATAATTTGCAGAACCATTAAGTTGCTCAAAGTGTACTGATTTTTCACTAACTTTTTTTTTTTTTTGGCTTGTTCAGTTTTAATTTTAATATATATATGTATGATATATATGGCTTTTCAACACATGCAGATTCAATCGTTACATTAATCTTCATGCTGAAATTCAATTATTTTTACATCAAAATAAAATAAAATATTTAAATGATGATTTTTTAAGAATATTAAAAGTGATTTATTAAGGAGACATAATAATTTTAGTAAGACCCTTCATTACCTTAGAAGTCCCCCCCCAAACAGACACATATATATACACTACTTATTAGAATTAACAAACTTGATGAAATTACCAATATTGATAACTAAAATATTATTTTGAGATATAACATTTACATTGTTATATTTTATAATCCAACAATTCCAGTAAATAAAGAGAAAGAACAAAATTGAGCAGACTCATGTAAATAATACATCTTATAACATCAATGTTGATTAAAACATACATTATTCATTGAGATTACTGCATTAAAAAATGTTACTAGATTTACTCCTACACGATTTCATTTTCTATCTGAAGTTAAAAAAAAGCACAAATAATCTGCTTATATTAAAACAAAGTATATATAGAATTTTAATTTTTACCATTTAAAATTTGAGAAGCAAAGGTTAAAGTATAAGTACCTAGTTTCAAGAATAATAGTTTATAAAACATCTCATTCTTTAGAGCTTTTATAAAGACATTTATATCATAAATGAATGCAAATTACCCTATCAGCTAAAATAGCAGAAAGTATAGGTAGCTCAACAGCTCGGCCAGATTTTAATATTTCCTGCCACAACTGGTTTAATTTCTGTGTAAGCATAATATTCCCTTTGATTTTCAGTCTTCCTGTCATGAATGCCTAGGAAAAAAAATAAACAAATGTTTTATATTTCTCACAAATCTTGATTTCTGCATTAAGTATCATTTAAAAACAAAAAATTATACTTTAACACGTTGAGCGCGGTGCTGGGCCCTATGGACTGGCAGTTAATTTTCTGCGTCGCCGGCATCGGTACACATCGAGCCCGGAAGTGAACCTTCCATGTGGCTGCCGTCGGTCCCTGGGAACCGGCACTGGAATTTCGTTTGGCTGGCATCGGTTCGCAGGACCAACAGTATTAACATTGGCCACAACGAGCTTTGTCATGCACAGGCAGGACTGGTATGTTGGTAACCGACAAAGCTCACCAACAGATAAGTTCTAATTAGTGAAGTCACGGATCACCCTGCAGCACTGCACCGCTTGATCACTCGCGCTGGCTGAACAGAAAGGACAGCATATTTGGTGCCACGCTCAACGTGTTAATAAGAAGAATGCAGTAAGCTTGTTAAATAAGATTTTAAAACTTTTTGCCACTACTGCTAAAATTTAAATGTAACTAAGCTCTAACCTCAAAGGCTTCTTACTAAAATTAATTAATTATTAACAATTCACTGTCTATGTGAAATAAATACTACTTTATAAATTATATTTGCGGTAATATAAGTGAGTACAGTACAAAGTCCGAAATCCAGACGTCCAATATCCGGAATGATCTAAGATTCAGACATCAAAACCACCAACAACACTTTTCTCGTAGGATTTATGCATGCGCATTTGATTCCCCTCTCCATGCATAATAAAACATCTGGAGAGTCCCGATTCTTAATTTCACTTCGAAACTAAATAAAATCTCTTGTTATTGAAGAAACAACCATTTTAGCATAAATTTGGCTCCGTTGCTGCATATTTCCTTGGCACACATCTCAAACCGAAACATTCCACATAGATACATCGTTGATCAGACGCAAACCTGCCGAATCACTACTTATTATACTTTCCTTTCATCACTGCATGTTTCAAAACATGACAACTTGAGTAATGACTCATGTAACAATGCCTAAACAATTTTTTATGTTATTAATTGGATACCCAAGTAGCACACGACGTTGCAAACTGGTCCGAAGAGGTTGCAAAGTGGTTGCGGTAACTTTTACGTCTTTACAAGGTTGCAAAGACAAAATATTTGCCTTGCATCTTGCCAATTTGTCGACGTCACTGAAACGTCATGAAATGACCGCTTTAAACCTCGTCTAAAATTTTTCACGGATCATTTCATCACGCGTTTTAGCATTTTTTTTTTTTTTTTTATTATTTCAGCAGCATTATTTTTAGAATGAAAAGAGACTAAATCTCCCCTTTCATGAATCTGAAGTCCACATAACATTTACTTTGAAATGTTTCATTACTTTATTTCATCTAAATATATTAATCTAAGGTAGATTCATCTAATGAAATGTAAATTTAATATAAATACTTTTGATTTATTAAATTTAATTAGTACTAAAAATACATGCTAAATTATTGTTTTAAAATTTTTTGTTACAATAATTAATACTTATATTTTTTATAACTATTATAGCAAAATATTTAAAAATGAAACTAATCTATAAAGTAAGTTATTAAGTGCATTTTATATACTACAAAAAAATTATATTTCCGAAATCAATGCAAATCACACGTTAGCAACTAGTTTACTATTGAAATATGACTTGTTTTTGAAGTAAGGATGAATTCATGGCTGTCCAATATATATGGCGGAAGGAGAAGCAGACTTGTACATTCTTTACTGGATGCTTATATAAGAAACATCTCGAGATTTGCGCTTTTTGGCTAGGTGCCAAATTCGAACAACTGCACAATTAATTCAGATTCTAGAAGTTCTTTCAAGTCATTGGGTAAAGATGCCAGCTGTAAGGCAATTTGAGAAGACTTAAAAAGACTTACTTCATGTTTGAAATTGAATTAAGCATTGGCTGATATAAATAATATTGCTTATATTAAAAGTAAATGTAATGCACTGTCAGTCAAAGAACGCATTGTGAATCTTCTCATTGTTCTGTATCTATTTACTTCAACTGCCTTCAGCGAGTGAAATTATTGTCAGAATGCTGAATTGTGCTTATTTTGTGCGTGAATCTAGTGTTCATGAAATAGTGTCTCTGTGAACTATAGTGGTCTGTGGAATATATTATTCGTGAAATAGTGTCTCTGTGATTCGTAAAATAATAGTGTCTGTCTCTGTGGTTCATGAAATAGTGTCTCTGTGAAAACAATGTCTGTCTCCAATCGCTGTGGTTCCCGCAGTGCAATATTTGGATAAACTTACTAGCTTTGTGGTTCAGTTATAACGTTATAAGTGCTATATCGCATATCATTCATATTAATTGATTATTGTGTTCATATTAAAAAGTTGGCTTTCAGAATTAATTCATACAAAACCAAAAATAGCACACAACGGTAAGCCACTTTCTCTGGTTTTGCTTAAAATGCAATTAATGCAGAAGCAACAACAATTCAAGCTGTTATGGTATGTTCACTATTTTCAAAGTACAAAGAAATTATTGGTACCAGTACTTAATATGACTGCTGAAGATGAATTTATATGCATATAAGCAATTAATCAATTATTAAAATTAATAATAATGCACATTCTACAGTATATTGTCTTTTGTACAGTATGCAGAAAATGTTAATGATTTTAGACAATGTTGAAATGTATGATCGTAAAACTAGTTTTAAGGAAACATTAGCATTTCTTTGAAATATTGTAATCTATAATTATGCGATATTTAATTGTGTAATATTAAAAAACACTAAATATTTTTATTAATTGCAAATTGCAGTTTTATTACTTTTCCTTTGGTATTTTTCTTCCAAACAGTGTAATTCGTGTTTTTTTTTTTTTTTAATATTGCCGTTATGTATGTTTATTAGATTATCTCAATAAATGAATGTTGGAAATAAGGTTTTATTTTTTATTAAATTTAAGTATTTCCTATTTTCTTTGCTTTCTTTTTATGTGCTTGTGATAACAAAGAAATTCATAATAAATAGAAACAAAAAGTTTCGTGTGCTATTTAACAAAGAGCTTATTTTAACGTACTTAGCTTACTATGGTATACTATATTATTTCTATTATTTCTGTACAGTAACAAAAAGGAAAGTTATTGATGATAAAAAGTGCATAAAATAATCATTGTAATCTACCACTATTCTAAAATGTAGAAACTAAAAATAAGTAAATACATTAATATATGATCGAAAGAAATTGTGTTAAAAATCATCAGCATTACTAGTAAATACTGCATTCCATAATTATTGCACTTTTAATTGTTTACTATTTAAAAAACACAAATATATTTTTTTTTATTAATCGGAAATTTAAGTTCTGTTACCTTCCTTCTGCTATTTATACTTTCAAACACTATTAGTTCATGTTTTTTCTTAAATAGCGCTGTCATGTAAGTTGTTTGTTACATTATTATTTCATTTTAGATATGAATATGGGAAGTTATTAGATTTAGGTATATTTTTGATCACATTTATTAACTACTTTATACTGTCTTTCATTTGCATATCTTGCAGATATAGAAGTTAATGGTTGTATTTTTTACTGTGAAACGCGAATAAATTTATTTATACTTGAGTTCAGGTAAAATACCAATTATGTTACCTAATTTATCATGACAGGGGCAATTTTCAATGCCTCTGAGATTTAACAGAAATAAATGTGATAATGCTGTTATCAGAAACGCTTTTTTTTTTTTTACCCACATATATATCTTTACTTTTATTTATGTCTAATTGAGTTTTATTTACTTAAAACCTACTATTAATGTTATATATTTATAATAACCACTTTCATAATTACTCTCACTTAAGGAACAAAAAATGATGAAATCTTAATCATAACTTAGAATTTAAGTTATTTAAAAAATATAGTTTAAAGTACTGAAAATAATTAAGGCTATTATTAATTATGCATATTTAGTCTAAAGAGAAATTTAAAAACTTTAGTACTGAAAATAATTAAGCTATTATTAATTATGCATATTTAGTCTAAAGAGGAAAAAAATGTATTATCGTCTGGTTTTAAGGAAATGATAAAATATTTAAACTTTAGAAAAATACAAGGAATACAAAAATTTAAAAAAGTATAAAAATATATTAATTATTAATATTTTTCTGCATAAATCAATATGTAACTCAAGGACATAATAACAACATTTTCACAACTGTTGCAAAAAGGTGGAATTTTGCGAACATTTAGGCGTCTTTAAGATGTTGTGATATGATGCTTTCACAAGCAAAATATCCCCTGTGAAAGATACAACGACGTCTATGTGACAAAAACCTCATCTGCAAAGACGTAATAAAAGACGTCTTTGCAATGGTTGCAAAACAGTGGATGTTCACGGACATCTGGGCATTTTAAAAACGACATATTGCAACATTTTTGGAATGACATCTGCGACGAGTTTGCAACGACATTATGACGTTGCTGTGCCCCTTGGGAAATAAAAGGAGTATGGTAACCTTTATGTTGATATTACGCTTGCCGATGATCACACATTTAAGTTAAATGTGCTAAAAATGCTGAAGAGGAAAAGTTTACCAAAAATTTCTTTCCATATGCTAAAAATAGATTTTGTTGATGATACTCATAGACCCAAAGATTACATTTACGGCTATTTGAATTAAGAATAACTGATTTGTTATTCACATAATCCCAGAACCATATGGCCAGGGCTCAAAGGCCGCACCGAGTCACAGAATTTAGGACCCACAGAGACTGCATCAGGTGGTAAGATATGTAGCGCCAGCCCTCAATAAGGCTTAAGTATATGTGGGAATTTATTTATTCAGAACTCTGATAAACCTTAAGCATGTGCAAGAAATAGACATAAATATAATAAATAACTAAACTAATACAATTCAGGCTTAATTGCCTCAGTGTGCGATAGAAGCAAGATAAAATTTAACAGAACAACTTGTCACTAGTCGACAAGCTCCTTACGTTCAAGCCAAATATATATAGTGAAGGATAGCTAAATTTGATGATGATAGCCACTAATTTTAAAGGTTTTCGGATATTGCAAAACGAAGGTGAAATTTTCGAATTAACAGATTTTGTAAAGAAATGTGGAGAAGCAGTAATAAATGAAGATGATATAAAAGAAGTTTTTCATTGTGATGACAATGTTTCTCAATCAATCAATTAATGAATGGCAAAATCTGTAGTATGGCTCTAGATCCAGAAATTACTGCTACTGATAGTGAAAAAAGTGAGAGAAGTTACTGAAAACAAAAAAATTTCGATTGACAAGTTAGTCGGAATTCTCAACACAGCAGTTATAGGACATCAACAATGTAGCTGAACAAGAGATTATGTCTGTATACAGAATTAAAGGGAAAGTATTAGCAAAAAAAAAAAAAAAAAAAAAAAAAAAAAAGAAGCAACTTAAACAATTTCATTGAAAGAAATGTTTAATAAGGTAAACAAATAAATATTAAGCTCTTTTTTTGTAGATTTTGATACCCTTTAGATCATAAATACTTCATTATTTCATAAATCATGATTTCATATCTTTAATAATATAATTTCTACATGCCATCTTACTAGATTGCAATAAATGCAAGGCTTATTTTTACTGTGGTCATTACAACAGCCCACAGAAAAATTCAAAAAGTTATTCTAAACACTCGATGGAAAACTTCTAAGAAATTTGGCAACAAATTTAAAGATTTTGCCTTCAATACTGTAAAAGATGCTTTAAAATTTAAATGAAATTAAATAAATTTTAAAAAATTATTTAAAAATTATTTTCTTTTCATTTTTATCACAAATTATTTTTAATTTCAATGCAGGAGAATTATTGATAGTGAAATACAATTATAGAAGTACACACATTCACTCTTAAAATTAAAGTACTCATTGATTGGATAATATATGATGCATTACAAAAAATAATAAATTATATGTTACAAAAATAAGTATGAATGAGCAATTTGTTTTCTTTTAAATAACATTAAATTCATTAAAATATGGAAGGACACTTTAAAGTGAACATGGGTACATAAAGCTGACAATTTTTTTTATATCTAGTATTTCATCTAAATTAGCTAATACTCTATTAAATTAAACCAATCTTTATAAACTCAGATAAAACAGAAAAGATGCCAACTCACTCTTTGTGGGTTCAGTTTTCCTAACATCATAAGTATAACATCTTCATCCTCCATTGTCAGAATAACATCAGCTTTCCCAGATTTTGGAGGACCTCTGTAGATAGATCCAGATCCACTTTTCAAATCCACAGCTGCAACAGACATAAAAGATAAACCACAGAATAGGTATTGTCACTCAAAAGGGTAAAAAAAAACACCAATACGCATGTACATATTACAAAAAAATATCTTCACACAAGTGAAAAAAAAATGCCCTAACAATATAGGAAACCTACAGAAAATGCAAACACTAAAAACTGAAATAAATGAATGGATTAATTGTTTATTGTATGGATGACGGCAGAAAAAGCCTTAATTGCATATAAGCATCTTCGTAAATGAAAAAAATAATTAAAATATATGAGTATTTCCTATTCTTACATAATAAATATTTATATAACTTTAAACAATTTTAATGTCAATTTTTTTACTTATTTTTTTAATTGAATTAATAAGTAATTGAATTAAATTATTTTTTTTAAAGTAAATAAACGGATTCTATAAATAAAACCGAACAAAACAATAGAATTTAGAAATGAAACTTGTTTCAATTTACTCATCAAAAGACACCTGAAATGATTCAGTTTTAAAAGAAAATTTTCAAACAATACAAACATTAGCACTTGTAGTAAAGCACTAATTATTAACAAGCTTATTTCTACTCCATCAAAATAATAATAACAAATAAATGAAATTTTGAAATAAAAATAAATAAATAGGTAAGATTTAACCAAAATTATACAAAACATTATTTTAAATACTTCTATAGTAAACCTATGATAAAAAGTAAACTTTAACAAAAATGTGAAGATAACTTTCTAAATAAAAAATAAATAAATAGGTATTTAATCCAAATTTCATACATTACATTTTTTTAATATTTCTACTGTAAACATATGACAAAAAGTAAGCTTTAGCAAAAATATGATGATAACTTTCTGTACTGATAATGATATCAATTTTCCATTACTATATAAGTAAAATTTAAAACATTTCGAACTGAAGTATTAACACCACAAAATATTATTTCAAACAAATAACTATTCTCAATTCTCAAATTAAATTAAAAGAAAATAATAATATTAATGATATTATAAACTAAGTTTACATAATGAAAATTATTAAAGACAAAATATTCATGTAGGTGCATACAAATTGGTAAAGCATTCTAAAAGCAAATGTAATGTGTAGAATAACAATATGATTTCCAATAAACACAGTTTTCACTCAATTGTATAAGTAAACATTTCTCTTCTGATACTTTTATGAAATGATTATAAATATTAACTTACTCCATTCTGATATTTTTTTTCCACTCTGGAGTATATTCCAGTTATATACAACTTTCATCTTTTTTGCCAACTCTGGCTCTTCACCAAGTCTCTCGGCAAAAATTTGAAATACAAAATCCGATTTCAAAGTAGCTGGCATCTGCAACACGAGAAAACATTTTACTCAAATACAGGAACATATTTTACTTTGATTTGTTTAAATACTACATAAAATATACAATCAGTATATGCTGAGTGATTGAAAAGCAACAGAAAAAGCACGAATTCATTGCTTCTGTTAGTGTAATTTTGTACTTTTGTAAAATGAAACTGAATGCAGTGTTCACCAAAGCAATATAAAATTGTCAAAGTTGCCTGATGTTAAATAAAGAAACGTTTTTGCTTATGATTTAGGGTATTTGTTTTTTACAACAAGGTTTAGAAAACATAGGGGGATCTTTAGTCTCAATAAAATGAAAAATTGCCAAAGTTTGATTATTGTTAGTTACATAAAGAAGGAATAGTGAGCTCAGGATACTCAGACATTTATTAAAATTAAGAGTTATAAGATGCACAGATATGTCTAAATCAAACGAACTCTTAATCAATTTGCCACGAGATGTCAAACCAAATGCAGAATCGATAAGGTAGAGTAGCAACATCAACAAGTAATACCTATTTCTTAAGGAAATCAGCACCGAGGTTGACCGAGTTACATCTGAAATGAAAAATAACCAATTAAAGATGCAACAAATTTAAATCCAAAGTAAGACATTTAATGACAAACATGGGAATCTTAGTTCCCTTCACGCTCAACAAAACCAAATCTTGAGAACAGTGAGCATGCATCATAAGCCCAGAACAGTGAGCCTGCATTTTTGGTAATATCAATACATCTGCCCCAGTATCAATTAAATGTATTAATCTTTGACAACCAGTTTGCACTATTCTCCATCTGTTGAAGAACAAAATTTGCAGATTCATAACATCCCTTAAACTTGTTTGGTGTCAGTTCCTGTACTGCTAAATTTTGTAAGGATACATCTTCAGGATGATCCTGAGTGATCATCAGACAATCCCATACAAAATACCAGTTCCCCAGAACTGGTATTTTGGATGTATTTTTGATATACTGTAAGGGCCCTTATTTTCACGAAAATGAATATATCGATGATTTCGCGATTTGAAAATTTCGAGAATTCTATATGAACAGAACCGAAAGTTGAAAAATTTCAAAAGTGCCTAAGTAAAGTTGAGAAAGTTGAAAAATTCCAAAAGTACATCTTTTGCATGAAGCATTTTAAGAAACTTCCTTTTGTCCAAAAAGTTCGTCCCCCCTCCCTGTTCCCGTCTAAATGGCGAGTTCAAGCGTTTGCTCAAGAATGAGTTTATTGAGTGGTATTCTAATGAGCTTCAATTTCTAGAGGAAAAAAATCTGTGGACTTGCGAATATCACGACTATAACCGATTCACGCTTCTTGGCTTGTGTGCGTATTTAACGGTATTGAAGCCAAACACGAGATAATTTTGAATGCCTTCAAAGAAGCTGGTATAAATAGTATTTCTAAGTGAATAAGCTGCCTTCTATTAATTTTATTGTTTTATATTCAAGAAATATAGTTGTATATTATTCAAAAAATAGTTATAAGAAAGGAAGTTGTCAAGAAAAAGCTTGTAACTGTGCAATAAATCATTAAATTTTGGGTAAGTGAAAAATTATTAAAAACACATTGTTATCAAACAATAGATTCTGCATAAAAACAAACCATAGAAAACACATACTTCTCCTAGTTGAGAAGGATCATTCCCAGAACTTTCATCTGAGTCTTTGGGAGCTCCAGCAAATGACACTTTTTCAGTTTCTTCTTCTGGATTTTCCCAAATTGCTTGTAGTTTCTGAGATGCAAGTACATTGCCTGTAATTTTCAATTTTCCAGACATGAATGCCTAAAAATAAAAGGAAAACAAAGTATAGTTAGTACAATATAACTATAATTTGATTAAAATCCTGAATCAATTTAATAAATTAATTTTTTGTCATATTGTACTAACTATTGTACTATAATAGTTAGTACAATATGACAAATTAATAATGAAATTTCAATTCAAGCATAAAGCAGTGCATTCATAAATAGACAGACAAATTATGCAAGAAAATAACATAATGAGATGAAATCTCCAGGCTGAAAAACAAGATACTTGTAATGGGTATAGAAAATGACAACTAGCACAGATTCAGTACAAATTATGAGAAACTGAATTGTCCTAAATTAAGAAACAACAATACGAAAAGAAAACATAAAAATGGCAATCGGTTGAATATGCAATATTATTAACTAAAAAAGATTAATACTCAAAATATTATATAAAGCTAAATTTCAAGAAAAATAAAATTTCTTCAGTGGCTGCTTTATAAAATGTTAAAAAATAACTTTCCTAAAAGTCTAAAAAAATATATTGATAAATAATAGACAGATAGAAATATAGATATAAATACACATATTATGTACTATAACCAAACTAACATACACAAAAGACTCACCTGGCCTTTTAAATTAGCTATAATTAACAAAACACAATTAAAATAAAACATTACAATAAAAGGCGTTATAATTACACATTTAAGTTACAAAGTAAATCTCGGGGAACACCATGCTCAGTCCATGATTACAGTACATCAGCTGAAGGCGATCTTTTTTTTTGGCCGGTGTTTCTTCCAGCAGCCGCTAGGTAGCCCTCATTGAGCTGTGGGGTTACAGACTCCCCCTCTGGCTCGTACGACGTCTCGGTGAAGAGCCAGAAATATGTTTCTTTGGTCTGCCTCGTCTCCGAAGGGGTGCTATAGTCCCACTATCTCTTGAAACAGGCAGTTCATAAGCATGTAAGGCTGAGCTGTGGTAAGTCTCAAGGACTTCATCTGCCTTTAGCTAGATCAGCAATATCATATGTAGTGGGTAAACTATTGGTTATCGCTAAATAGGTGCTTCAAGTCTAGGCATGAATTTCTGGCACTTTCTATTATGTGGTCTGCAAATAGAATGTAACATCACCCATAGTCTATCACATGGTTCGTAAGAAGCCTTTTGTTGTCGACAATCATAATATATTTTTGTGCTTATCATATTCTTCATTAAATCGGGATGATTCATTAGGAGCAGAGAATCTGGATGATTCCCTTCAAGCTTCATTGAATCAGGATGATTCATGGAACAGCATAGAATTAGGATGATACTCTTCAAACTTCACTGAATCAGAATGATTCTCTTCAAATTTCACTGAATCAGTTTGAACAGAATCGGAATGATCCTTTTCGTACTTCACTGAATCGGGATGATTCCTCACACAACACAGAATCAGGATGATTTTGATTCACTCGAACCTTTCTGAATCAGGATGAATCACTTCAAACCTCATTGAATCGGGATGATTCTTTTCAAACTTCATTGAATCAGGATGATTCATCAGCAGCATAGAATCGGGATGATTCTCTTCGAGCTTTATTGAATCAGGATGATTCTCTTCAAGCTTTATTGAATCAGGATGATTCATGGTATAGCATAGGATTAGGATGATACTTTTCAAACTTCACTGATTCAGGATGATTCATGGCATAGTATAGGATTAGGATGATACTTTTCAAACTTCACTGATTCAGGATGATTCATGGCATAGCATAGGATTAGGATGATACTCTTCAAACGATTCTCTTCAAACTTCACTGAATTAGAATGATTCATTCAAAACTCCATAGAATCGGGATGATCCTTTTCATACTTCATTGAATCGGGAATGATTCCTTCAAACTTCATTGAACAGAATGATTCATCAACAGCATAAATCGGGATTCACTTCAAACTTCATTAAATCGGGATGATTCATTCAAAACTGCAGTTTTGAATCAGGATGATTCTCTTCATACTTCATTGAATCCGGATGATTCTTTTCCAACTCCATAGAATCAGGATGATTCTCTTCATACTTCCTGGAATCGGGATGATTCTCTTCATACTTCATGGAATCGGGATGATTCACTCAAAACTCCATAGAATCACGATGGTTGTCTTCATACTTCATTGAATTGAGATGATTCACTCTTCAAACTTCCTGAATCGGGATGATTCTCTCTTCAAACTTCCTGAATCGGGATGATTCTTTTCAAATTCATTGAATCAGGATTATTCATCACACACCACAGAATCAGGATGATTCTCTTCATACTTCATTGAATCGGGATGATTCATTCAACAGCACAGAATCAGGATGATTCTCTTCAAACCTTCACTGAATAGGAATGATTCATTCAACAATACAGAATCAGGGTAATTCATTCAACAGCACAGAATCAGGATGATTCTCTTCAAACTTTACTGAATTGGAATGATTCATTCAACAGTATAGAATCAGGATGATTCTAGAAAAGTTCACTACATGGAATTGAATCTCCCCCTGGTTCGAAGCAGTTCTCTTGAATTTTTGCAATAAACAATTTAGTTGAGTATGCTGTTTTATATGTATATGTTTATCTCCGTCATTTCGAAGATTCACTAAAGTGGATGTTTCAAAACTTTAGCTTAATTGGAAATTTATAGATTTCTTTGTCTACATGCATAATTAGCTCTTTGAGTTGAATCGCTTTCAAATTATCTGAGACGGGCAGACCCAGTTCTGTGATTAACACTTGCAGATCCTTTTTTCTGGTTAGTCCCAAAAATGCATGTTATCATATTTTCAATGTCTGTTGAAAAGTTCAATATTTGTTTGAAAAAAAATTATATGTTCTGAAATTTTATGAATTTCTTAATTACCTTTAACAATTACATAATACAGTCAAAAGTCGTTAATCCGGACTCGTCGGGACTTCGCCGAATCCGGATTACCGATTTTTCCGGATTATAGATCATCAGTTTAAATCTGGTAAAACGGCATGCAGAAATTATAAAATTAAAAATATGAAACCGTAATTTTTGAAATAAAGAACAATTATGATCTAAAGGGTATCAAATTTACAAAAAAAAAAAAAAAAAAAACTTAATATTATTTGTTACTTTATTAAACATTTCTTTCAATGTAAGTTGTTCAAGTTGCTTCGTTTTTTATGTGATAATACATTCTCTTTAATTCTATAAACAGACATAATTTCTTGTTCACTTACAAAGTTCGGCTGTTCAAGTCCTATAATTGCTGTGTCGAGAATACCAACTAATTTGTCAATCGAAATTTTTTCCTTTTCAATAACCTCTGTTACTTTCTTTGCTATCGGAAGCGAATTATAATGACGAGGAATTTAATTTAAATCATTTAAAAAATGGAGTACATAGAGATGAAATACTACATTTAGTAAGGAATTATAAGCCAAATAAAATAAAAATATCTGCCCTGAAGATAAGGATAGTGTTGACAGATTAACTTCCAATTCATTGCGCGGTGCGGCGTTTCCCCCCCCCCCCCGGCCCGCAGAGCAGCATGAAATTAATAAACAGATTTCGGAATGGTTTGAGAAATGAAGGATATGCCTTTATCCATTTTTTGCAGGAATTCCACTTTTTGTTTAATGTACTTCGAAACATACTTTCGCTTTGTAGATCCTTTACATATTAGTAAATATATATCGCAAATTCTATTTGACATAATCGAAAGTTCAAGCTTACTTTTATAAAATTGCTCTAACAGTCTGCAAAAAATAATAAGCCGGATCCAATTCGAAGATTAAGGAACAACGCAATCTGCAACATTAACTGAATTAGATAATTTTAGCTTAGCTTATACCGTCCGTTATACATTAAATACTGCGCATACCGTCCGTTGCGCAAGCGTAAATGTATTATGCGCAGGTGTATATGCATATTCGCAGCCGTAAAAGTCTTATGGCATGCGTCAACGCGACGCATGCGCAGAAAGCTTGTAGCTTTGAGGTCCGGATTATGGGTGTCCCAATTAATGACTTTTGACTGTATTTGAAAAACAACATCGAACAAAATCGTTAATCTGAGATTACTTTGAAAACGAAAGTAACATTTTACTAAGATTGGTACACTTGCTAATGGACAATAAAATGTACAAATTTAAACATACATTGGACATAAAATCCCGAAAATAGAATTTAATTTTGATAAATCTTCTATTCCTAATGGCTATGATGTCTACAAAATCCTAAATGCTCTAAGAAATTAATTTTGACTGTAGTTTTCTTTGTAAAACACAATTAGATAAACAAGTTGTTCTCAAACATTACGAAATAATTTAAAATTTCTATAAACACACAATTTGAAAATGCAGCAAGTATTAGAATGCCTTTTCAGAATAACGCCAAATAAAACATTAATTTAATGAAGCATTCTTATGAATAAAAACAAAACATTAGTGACACAGTTTAAATAATATACTAGATAAAACCCTTTTCACTATTAAATCATTTCTATTCTCAAGGAGGATAAGAAAATATCCATTAATATTGTTCATAAAATAAAACAAAACACACAACTCATTCATAGATAGTATAAAATCCTAAAAGAATTATTTCACACCGGAAACATTTATCAATCAGAATATAAATAACATTTTGCCGCAATTTTCAATTAACAATTTTCGTTCGGAACCGAAACGAAATTTTACTTGTGTTGACTTCTAATGAAAACAAGATTAATCTTCAATTAGAATACAGAATTAAAACATAGAAATTCAAATAGAAATAAATTATTTAAAACAATGCAAGACAATATAAATTCTTAAAGTGCAACATATCTAAAAGGAAACATCTAGAGCTTATTATACTTTATATACGATTCTGTTTCCTTTTTAACGACACGTTCCATATTATTAAAGTATTAACAACATTATAATTAGAATTTTATATTGCTTATTAAATGAAAATTTTTTATCTTTTAAGTCAAATGCTTATCAAATGAAAATATCTTTATATGTTATCTTTGGGTGAAGATGAAACCCAAATACGATTTCCCCTTCATACGATTTTCAAAACAATCTTCGGGAAAAGACGAAACCGATACTTCATTCAATTTCAAAAATTATCCTCGGGTGAGGACTTTGCTGGTGAAAGTAGTACTTAAAACCTGGAAAAGAATATGAGTTGATGTCCTGGTATCTTAAACTAAACATGGTTTTTCTCAACTGGATAAATCATTCGAGCCGTTGTTGGGTGGCCAACTATAGCCAAACTAACATAAACAAAAGACTCACCGGGCCTTTTAAATTAGCTTTAATTAACAAAACACAATTAAGATAAAACATTACAATTATGGGCGTTATAATTACACATTTAGATGCTGTAATAACACCATGCTCAGTCCACGATTTCAGTATACCAACTGAAGGTGGTAGTCTTTTTTTGGCCGATGTTTTCCGGCAGCCGCTAAGTGGCGCTCATCGAGCCGTGGGGTTACAGTACACATTTTATATGTAATTAATACATATATGTGTAGTACCAATTTAATAATTGTATTTTTCATACACAAAGAAGTCATGAGTGTTAAAATATAAGAAAGGAATATAACAAGTAAATTTATAAGATCATAAATCATTTAAAATATTTTAACATTTGTATTTAAGCTTCAAGATAAAAAAAATTACTTATTTTAAAAGGAATTTTTCTAGCTCTATTAATTGAAAATTATGATAGGAACCAATAATTATCAGAATTTCTGAAATGAAAAGAAGTTGTTATTAAAGAAGCAGAAACTTTTTTTGGAAAACTAACTTGATACAAAACATACAAATTATTAATCTATGGGGAAATTATTAATCTACAGATACAGTAATATAATTCAAACATGTTTGTTTATTAATTCTTATATTACATACTCAAAAACAAACCTTTTGAGGGTCTGCTGAACCATCCATAATTTTTGTGAAGAGATCATCTTCCAAAATAAAGATGCAATCTGGTTTATCATTTTTAGGTGTTCCTTTATAAACAGATCCAACTCCGTTTTTAAGGTCAAGAGCTAAAAATAAAATAATCTTTAATAACACAGTACTGAATATTTGGATGCAGTTCACACATTAAAAAAAATATTGCAATAGCAAAATATTTCTACATTTAATGAAACAAAATAAGAAAATTGTGAGAGATATAAGCTGCGTAATGTCTCATTTTTAGTATTAAATGAAAAACACATATAATCAGAGAGGATATACTACAGAAGTAATTCTAAACACAATCTTTCTTCTAGTACTCAGCCAGTGATGCCGTTTTATACAGAACGAAAAGTCGTTAAGTCGAAAATCCGGATGTCCGATATACAAAACGATTTAAAATCTTGACCTCCAGATCCCCTGCAACCACCCTTTAAAAAAAAAAAAAAAAGGTTTACGCTTGCACATTTGATATTTTTTCGTAATAAAACATGGAGAGTACAATTTCGGCACTGTCGTCACCCTGCTGAACCATTTATATTTTTTGCTTGCATCAAACATACTGCAACTTGAGAAATGACTCATGCAGCGATGTCTGAATTTTTTTTTTTTTTTTTAATTTTACCAGTTAGTACGAAGTAAATACACTAATTGCGAAAAAATTTTGGGATCACATTTCAACATAATTATCCCTTTTGACCGTTCCCGAACCCATTTGGACAATTCGGACTATACGTAGGGACAGAATAAAGGTGTCTTTTTCCTAAAACAGATTATAAAATTGAATTTTTTCGTGACTTTTGTAACTAGAATAACTCAAAAACGATTAGCCATAGAACGCTCAAATTTTGTATGCAGGACTGCTTTAACATCTAGCTGCACACCTCAATTTTACTATTGCCATCGGCAGTATAAAAAGTGTATGTGTATGTGTATATATATATATATATAGTAAAAAATTTAGAACTAATGTTTCACAAAGACCAAAAACTTTGGTTTTTACATTTATTTAATTCTCTGTTGCGATTATAGGGTTATTTGAAATTTATTAATTATGAATTTCAAAATTTTTGGTCTTTATAAAACATTAGTTCTAACTTTCTTACTTTATGTCTTTAATGATAATTTTCAGAATCTTAAAGCACGAAAAATACTAGGCATATTTATATTTTGCTTTTAAAAAATTTTTATATATATATATACATATTTGCACAGAAGAGGGAAGTAAAAATTTGCTAATGTTTTAAAGTACATTTGATACTGCAGTTCCAGAGTACACATGTAACACAAGTATAAACAATAATGCAATATTAAAACAGTTAAAGTTCAAGCAAAAAAAAACCTCCTGTAATAACTACTAAAGAATATAAACTACAAAAACAAAATTGGAATTTAGAAAAGACTAAAATTTTTAAAAAAAAGTAAAACAGCATATTTTGTATGCAAACAATCATAAACATTTTAAAGACAGAGAAATTATATACAAACAATTACAATAAATGGTCAGCCCAATTCGGGGCTTCACACAGACTTATCAAGGGTTTGGTTTGGTTTATTTAATTATGGCAAAGCACACTAGGGTTATCTGCCTAAGGGGAGGGATGCCTTTGGAGGACTTTCCAAGGGAAACTGACTCGTATACAGTCAAAAGTCTTTAATCCGGACTCGTTGGGAATTCGGCGATTCCGGATTATCGATTTTTCCGGATTATAGACAATCAGTTTAAATCTGGTAAGATGGCATGCAGAAATTATACAATTAAAAATATGAAATCGTAATTTATGAAATAAAGAGCAATTGTGATCTAAAGAGTATCAAAATTCACACAAAAAAACAACAACAACAAAAAAAAAAACTTAATATTTATTTGTTTACTTTATTAAACATATCTTTCAACGTGCGCATGCGTAAAGCATACATTACGCATAGTCGAAATTAGAAAAATGCAACCAGAAAACTATTTTATGCGTATTCGTGATATTTATAATGACGAGGAAATTGATTTAAATCATATCGGAGTACATTCGAGATGAAACACTACATTTAGTAAGGAATTATAAGCCGAATAAAATAAAAACATCTGCCCTGAAGATGAGGATAGTGCTGACAGATTAACTAATTTTCAGTTCATTGCGCGCCGCGATGTTTCTCCCCCCCCCCAGAGCAGCGTGAAATTGATAAACAGATTTCGGAATGGTTAGAGAAACAAATCACCTCTCTGTCACTTTCTTCATGCCTTTATCCATTTTTTGCAACTATTCCACTTTTTGTTTACTGGACATCGAAACATGCTTTCACTTTGTAGATCCTTTGGCAGCTCCAGAATCGGAAATTCTGTTTGACATAATCGAAAGTTCAAGCTTACTTTTATTACATTGCTCTAACAGTCTGCAAAAACTAATAAGCCGGATCCAATTCGAAGATTAAGGAACAACGCAATCTGAAATAACGCGACTTTGAATAGAGAATTAGATGTCTATGTCTATGTCTATGTCATAACACAATTAAGAGGCAATCGGCCTAATGCGGCCTTTACCAATATATAAGTAGTGTCTTTAATGATGAGTTGAATGCAGTAAGATGGAACGTACTTTTTGCAGCTAGTGCAGAGTCTCTAGAAGAGAAGTAAACGTGGCTCCACGATGTGAGGATCTGCAACTTCAGAATTTCTGCCGCTCGGCTATGCTTGTCTTGAGAGAAGCTGCGAATTAATCTTTATCTGCAAAGTTCAGAATCATCTCAATGGCTTGAAAAGCTAGGCAAAGTTTCCGCATATTTGATTTAGCTGATTTAATTCTCTGAACTATTGTGGTTATTGATTTCATGAGAAAAAGGGTTTTCTGATCTTTAAAAATGTTAATGATTTTCTGCTAAATTTTCCTGCGGGTTTTTCTGCTTAACTTTCTCACTGTAAAGGTTTTTAGGCATTTCTTGATTAGTTTGGCCTGAAGATTGAATGAATTCGGGGAAGTCATCTTTAGTGGGAATTTCTTGTGGTTTTTTCTATCTTCTCTAAATGATTGAATCTTTTTTCTGTATACCTTAACAACACGATAAGAAGAAACGTGATTTTCTTGACAGTAAATGCAAGTTGGTTTTTCATCTGGTTTTAATTTACAGGTATTGGATCTGTGATTTTGTCCGCACTTACTGCACCTGACCTTTTTAAAGCAGTTATTTTGGGAGTGCCCGAACTCCTGGCAAATGAAACATTGAATTGGGCGTTTTCTGGGCTGATATTTTTCTATTGTGATATTGAATCCGAACATATTGTTTAATTGATGAATTTTCTCTCCTGCAGAATTAGTTCAAGGAAAAATATAGGTAAATGGATAATTTTGGTCTTCTGCTTTCTTCGTGAATTGCTTTACTTTAATTATAGGGAAGCTTCTGCATTCTAAGTCTGCGTGAATTGCTTGCTCTGTGTAGGATCTTGGGATATTCTTAAGTATAACTTTAATTGAAGAGGCTGAGGAAATTTGGTACGTATGAAAACTAATCTGTGCTTTCTTGAATTTATCAACTGTAGCTTTATAATCGACTTCGGTGGTAGTGTAAAGGAAAATCTGTCTGGCTTTGATTGTAACTTCAAATTCGAGATAATTAGATAATTTTAGCTTAGCTTATACCGTCGGTTATACATTAAACGCGCATGCGTAAACACATATGCGCATGCGTGAGACTGAAAGCGGTAATTCATTAATAAAAATATTTCTTAATGTTATAAAAATTAACAAGCAGAGTGATGGCTAATTGAATTTTTGGACTTTATTAACAAAAAAGGTAAAGAGAACTTACGTCTTATTGTTTACATGACAACTTTTAGAATGACAGAAACAACAGTGATGCCAGATACATAAAACATAATAATACAACAAAACAATGATGCCACTAAAACTGCACATAACATCAATTAAATCCTCGATTCTCAACAGCTTCCTTCGAGCATGAAAATAGTCATTGTTCATATAGATTAACCTTTACTTATTGACAGTTTTTACACCAATCAACTTCTTCTGAAAGTGAAACTGAGGTGCTGGAAGCGGCTTCGTCAGAATGTCTGCTGTTCATTAATTCTGACATAGTCTAATTGAAAACGTCCCTTCGAAAACTCATCCTACACAAACGTGTACCTTTGGTCAATGTGCTTTGTGTGTACGTGGAATACTGGATTTTTGATGTACTTGATAGTACTCTGATTATCAATTTGTAGGATAGGCAATGAGACATTATTAGCTATCTCATTGAACAAGCCCTTCAACCATACCATATCAGGTCTTTTAGGGCATCAGCTGCTGCTATGAACTATGCCTCTGTCGTTGAATTAGCTTGCTTCGCCACGTAATTGCGCCTCCACCATACAAAGAAATAACACCCGTTCGAGATCTGCGTGTTTCTGCACAGCTGTTGTTATCTGCCTCACTAACATCAAACTTCTATCATCTTCATTATTGTACACAATGTCGTGTCCTATGGTATTGCGAAGGTATGTTAAAGTTGTCTGTACGATTTCTCAATCAATTTCTGTAGGATTGTTCAGCTTTCGAGACATCAAACTCACTGCGTAAACAATATCTGGTCGGATCCCCATCGCTAAGTACAGCAAACTGCCAACTACTGATCGGTATGGAATTTCATTGCTGAAAGGCCTCGCTTCCCTGATCTTGATCATGCTGTCATCATTTGGTTGACCATAGTTGACCTTGAGACTCGACTTCTTTACTACGATGTGTGATGTCGTAGCATCTCCATATTGCTTTAATATCTTTCTTGTAAATGCTTCTTTGTGCAGGAAGAATGAGCTGTCTTTCAAATGTTCAACTTGTAGACCAAGGAAACAATTTAACGTCGTTACTGGAATGTTAAAATGTTGCTTGAGCTCATCCATAAATGTGAAGAATGCTGCTTTGTCCTGAACAGCGACAATGCCATCAGCATCTTATGTCCATAATCATTTCGTATGAATAGGCAGTTGTCGGATTTACTTTGGATCATGACATGTTTCTTTAGCACGCCAGTAAACTTGGCATTCCAACATGGTCCAGCTTGTTTCAAGCCGTATAAAGGACGAAGCATCTTGCATACACGC